CTGGTCAGACATATGGAAATCAGCGACTAGAGGCTGAGCCTGACATCATCACCCAGTGGGACAGAGAACTGACTGAATCTGTCTTTTTATTCGCTCCATCTCTCTCTGTTTGACATCTCCTTACTACTTCAAATTTACACGACTGTCACCTGAGGACAGAGCTATGAAGAAGTGGCCTTGCCTTTGTCCTCTCTGTCTTCAGGCCCAAGACGACATGGCAGTTTATGAGACACACAGCTGTGTACAGTCAGTGTCTCATCGAAATGAAGAAATATGGAGTCCGAATGGAGATTCTGTTAATAACATTAACTGCACTGCTGAAGGTAAGAGGTTCGAGGCGATGTTTGACCACTGCTGCGTCCAATACAAGGCAGCTTATCTGGTCTATTAATTAATACAAATATCTACGACCTGGTGAATAACACTGTTCTAGTGGCTAAAGCTAGCACACATTGCTCAGATGATTTTGATCGTGTTCAATAAATGCTTCAAGGACACTTTGTGATTTCAGTCTGTGACACAATGACTTGGCTGATTTCACAAGGACGTTTTGGTATTCATCTGGTTTGCTGTAGGCGTGTATTTGTGGGCGGAGACCCTTTGTGACTCATTCGAAAATGAATGCTTGTTAGCGAAAACTGCTGACAGTTGCTGTCCTTCTTCACAGGAAGAAGCAAAACAGACAAGGCTTTCCATGAGCGATTCTTATAGATCTTCAGATAAGGATTATAGAGCTCTGGAGCAGCAATTAGAGTGTCTTCCATCTTGCTCAACATTGACATGACTGACTGAAGCCCTGCCCAGATCTGTCCTTTTGGCTGACACCTGGGTGCGTTCGTGTTCCAGCAAATGTTCAAATATCACAACGACAGCAGAAAGTCATTTTCATGGGCTGACATGCACTGGCATCTTTGATCTGAAAAGAACAGCAAGAACATGGATACTGAAATGTTCTTCTAAACACGGCCTTTAGGACATTGCACAGAATCACATAGCATAGCGCCATGTAGTATAACGCTGTGTAGCATAGCACTACGTAGTATAAAGTTGTGTAGTTTAATGCTGCATAGTATAAGATTATGTAGTATAGCGCCACATAGCATAACACTAAGTAGTATAGCGCCACGTAATGCTGTGTAGCATAGGCCACATAGCATAACATTGTGCAGCATAGAGCCACGTAATATAATGCTGTGTAGTATGCCGTTGCATAACATAACCTTGTGTAGTTTAGCGCTGCATAGCATAAGATAGTGTAGTATAGTGCCACATAGCATAATATTGTGTAGCATAGCACTACGCAATGTAATGCTGTGTAATATGGCGTTGCACATCATAACATTGTGTAGTATAGCGCCACATAGCATAACACTAAGTAGTATAGCGCCACGTAATGCTGTGTAGCATAGGCCACATAGCATAACGTTGTTTTATAGCATTGCATGGGGTAGCATTGGCTCATGTAGCATAATGTTGTGTAGTATAGCACCACATAGTATAACATTGTGTAGCATAGCATCATGTAGCATAACATTGTGTAGTACATTGCAACATAGTATAACATTGTGTAGCACAGCGACATGCAGCATAATGTTGTGTAGTGTAGTGCCACACTGTGTAGCATTGTGTCATGTAGCATAACGCTGTGTAGCGTAGTGCCACATAGTATAACACTGTGTAGCATTGCAACATGTAGCATAACATTTTGTAGCATTGCGTCACATAATATAACATTATATAACATAGCAACCAAAGCATAACGCTGTGTGGTATAGCACCATATAGCATAATGTTGTGTAATACAATGCCACATAGCACAAGGCATAATGTTGTGTAGCACAGTGGCACACAGCATTACATTGTGTAGCACTGCATCATGTAGTACAATGCTGTGTAATATAGTGGCACATTGTATAACACTGTGTAGCATAGAGACACGTAGCATAATGTTGTGTAGTATAATGCCACGTAGTATCACACTACGAAGCATAGCATCACATAGCATAGCGTTGTGTAGTACAGCTTCGTGTAGCATTGCGTCACATAGCATAACACTGTGTAATATTTGCATTCTAGCCTTCTAAAGACTTTTGACCGACCGTCTTTCTCCTGCTAAATTTCAAACCACTTCATCTACCATCATTTCCTGTGGTCTCATTTAGGGTTTAGTTTAATGCAGAGATAGCAAAATGCTAAGTGCTGCACTGTTGAGCTTAGATAAACCAAGCAGTGCTGGGAGACGCTGAGTGGCAGCGTGCATTGCCACTGAATGACGGCGGTGGTGTATATACCTTTACTAAAAACAATGGTTTCGCAATTTTTAGATGCATCTGGTGTGCGCTCGTCTTTAACGTATGCTATTGGTTATCGTTCTGTATAATGAGCAGAGCCTTTCAGCAATCTGAGATCAAATCATACACAAATTCTGTTGTATCTGAGATAAGAGTGACTGAATAAAGGGGTTTTTCCACACAAAGCTGAGTATTCCCCTCAATTTATCTGCATATTTAACACCTGCTTATTTACCCACACCATTCATTTTTGGCATATATCAGTGTATATCAGTCCTGAGCACCTCAGGCACTGCAGATTTTTGTCTTTTACCTGCTCTGACACGCCCCATTCAACCCAACAGCTACTTAGTAAGTGCTTCATGAGCAGAGTCAGCTTTGGTACAGGTTGTGCTGCATGACACAGTTATTGCGACTACGTTGCTACTTATTGTGATTTTGTTGAAAAGCATGCAGGCCGGTCTTTAATTGCGTCACACTGAGGGTCAATAGTCATGTTGGTAATAAATCACACTGCAATTACAATATACAGCAATAGAAACATATTATACCTTCTCCATACAGTGCAGCCTCAAATTGTATATCACTGTTGCCGGAAGAAAACTTTGTATCTCCATTTTTGACGTTTTTCAGTTTTTGACATAATTTGAAAATACGTGTTACCCTTTACATTATATCTAAATTTCATGATGAAGGGGCTAAAAGAAATGACCTAGAATTACTTGGAAAAATGTCTGGTTCCATTGACTTACATTAAAAGTAAAGTATCATTTCAGAGATACGAGGTTTTCTTCCCACAGCAGCAAAATGAAAAATAAAGATTTGCCTGCATTGTTCTTACAATATTATTCAATTATTATATAAAACCCACAGAAATCATCAGGAGCATGTGAAGCTTTGTGATTTATGTGAGAGAATGTGTGAGAATTTTATATCTTTCATAGAGAAATAACAATGTGTTTTGTTATTTTAACTAAAAAAAAAATTCAAACGAATCAACACATCTTGGATTGAACATATCAAGTCAAACTACATGTTTTGTTAATTTTCTAAGTAAAAAAATGATTTGTTAACATATCTTCTCCAGAAAACTTAAATATTGCATTTTTTTAAATTTTACTGCACAATGTCTTGTTATTTGCTGTACTTAACATATTAAAATATTATTTAAAAAAAAAATAAACATAAAAATATTAGATGTGCCAGAGCTTTTGCACAGGCCACATTTATGTTTTATTTATTTTCCAATATATTAAATTTAACAAGAAAGAAAAAGGAGCATTTAAGTGTGTAGATGTTTTCACTTATTTTCAACTAGAAAATCAACATAATACGTCATTTGTCTGGGGGTGCCCAAAAGTTTGGCATAAAGCTGTACATGACAATATTTAAATGATAATCTCCAGCTGTTAGTGTATATATATATATATATATATATATATATATATATATATGTACACACTGTGTCCCTAGATCCAGATGGTAAAAAGTGCTGGATTTACAGTCTTCCATGTATTTTCAGCTTTCTCTCTTTTTGCTTCATCATTCTGGCTCCGCATTACAGAAAATCCTCTTTCAGCCCAGGCAGAGGCCCAGAGCATCAGCTGTAAACGCCTGTGTGTGTACAGAAGCAGTTCGGGCCCTCTGGGTGCTACAGGCTTTGTCAGCATCGCTGCAGAGCTTCCATCTCTGGTGCAATAACAAACCTCACAGTCATCGCTCTGAACGAAACCGCACACTTCAACATGCAGTAAGTACGAAAGCCAAAACCTCAGTCCACGTTTTTATGAGGAGAGAACGAGGGATCACAGTGGGGTACTGACACGCTGATTGGACTTATACACCATGTTTTTTTTTTGCTGGGACTCAAACAGACGCAGGAATACATGCACAAAAGCTCTGGAACCTGCCCTGCAGGCCACGGCCTCCCCGTCCACCCTGCAGATCAGCATTACACTAACAGTGCACAGCACAGAACCACAGATCCCTCCACAGCACATGGACACACACAGGAGCCACATACGAAACAGTGATTGAGCTCGTCTCTCATTGTGACACAAATTTTTATACTAATTTTAAAAATGTAATGTTTTTAAGTAAACACGCCCCGCCCTGCCACATTAATAGGTCTGTCCACACACACAACAGGTAATGTACAGCTGATGGCCCAGATGGTATTCTCTCTCTCTCCCCCTATCTCTCTCTCTCTCTGCCTCGTTCTCTCTTTCTGTATAAACACGTCTCTCTCTCTCTCTCTCTCGCCATCTCTTTCTCTCTTTCTGTACATACACATTTCTCTCTTTTTGTATATACACATCTCTCTCTCTCTCCTTATCTTTCTGTATACACATATTTTTCTCTCTCACTTTTTGTATATACACATTTCTCTCTCTCTCCCTCTTTCTAGCTCTTTCTTTCTCTCCCCTTCTCTCTCCTTCTTTCTCTCCCTTTTCATCCCTCTTTCTCTATGTGTCTCTATGTCTCTCATTCTTTATCTACGTCTCTCTCTCTCTCTCTCTCTCTCTAATCGTCCCCGTCCACTCACAGGGCATGATAATGCTCTTCACCTTTTTCCCCTGTCCATCTCTCAGTCTTTCTAAACTGACCTCGAGTAGAACCACACGGCACCTCTAATCAGCAACAAACACCACATTCACTCTGAATCACAAATCACATCATGTACTGATCCATCCACCCTCTTTATCTTACCTCAGCATCTCTCCACGCGCAGTAGGACAGTAAAGTCATTAATATTAATGCCCCTTTATGTCCCATCCTTTCTGTTTCGCTCGCCTTTCTCTCCTTTCTCTTCTTTCTCTTCTTTTCTCGTCGTTTATTCGTGTACTAATGCTGCGCTAAACGCTGTGCGCATTAACGTGAGCTGCGTCTGCTTCGTGTCTGGCCGCTCGGTGCCTGGCTCCAATCTCTCTCTCTCTCTCTCTCTCTCTCTCCCTCCCTCTCTCTCTCCACGCCTTATTCATTTTTCTTTTCCCACCCGTATTCAGGCACGACCCGCCCTCCTGCTAACGTACAGCACTGAATCACATTTTAATATAATAAAGAACAATGAAAAAATGGAAATATATTACAAACCTTAACCCTGTAACTCCACTCACTGGCCACTTAATGAGAAACACCTACCTCGTACTTCCACTCACTGGCCACTTTATTAGAAACACCTACCTCGTACTCCCACTGACTGGCCACTTTATTAGAAACACCTACCTTGTACCTCCTCTAACTGGCCACTTTATTAGAAACACCTACCTTGTACTTCCGCACACTGACCACTTTATTAGAAACACCTACCTTGTATTTCCATTCAGTGGCCACTTTATTAGAAACACCTACCTCGTACTCCCACTGACTGGCCACCTTATAAGAAACACCCCTCTTCGTACTTCCACTCGCTGGCCACTTTATTAGAAACACCTACCTTGTACTTCCACTAACTGGCCAATATATTAGAAACACCTACCTTGTACTTCCTCTCACTGGCCACTTTATTAGAAACACTACCCCCCACACCATACTTCCACTCACTGACCACTTTATTAGGAAAAAAAAAAACTGTGTAGTATTTCATGTAAATGTATTGGCCACACTGGCTTCTACTACACTTGGAATCAGGAAACTAAACATAAGCAATAACCTTATAATTGTATATTCTCGCATGAAAAATATACATTTAATGATGACATTTTGCTTTTAAATAAAAGTTTTTTGTGTTTAAAAGGGTGCAGTTCTCTTCTCTGTCTGTGATGTGTGGATGCCATTCATGAAGCTTGTAGGGTTTTCTGTTTGTCAGTGTGAATGACCAACCAATCACAGCGCAGGAGGTGGGACACTACTAGCCAATCATATAGCAGGAGGGCGCTGCAAGTCGGAATACGGGTAGGGAAAATACCGCGCATGCGCAGAACGGAGTGGTGCGCTGCGTTGCTCGAGTGCGCCACTTGGTGGACAAACAGCAGCGTCTGTAGCGGTCCGGTCTGGAGCTGCAGCTGCTGTAGACTTACATACAGACTAGTTCAACTGCGAAAGGGAAAAGTGACGTCACTTTTTTTTTACTGATTATTAACATAATTTAGTTTAAAAAAAAATAAACATATGCATTTGAAATATTTGAACATTTTTATTGAGATAGAATCTATTTTTTTAATGTGCGTCACGTGTGAAAAGTCCAAATGCGTTAAGTGTCTAAAAACAGCACACGTGACAAGTAAAAGCCTGGTGACCTGCGTGTACGAAAAATGACGTCGTATCTCAAAATAATGAGTAAAACTGAAAAAGTTGTTTGTTCAGTATTAATAAGTAATCGTTCCGTGACTATGAGTTACTAAGTCTTTAGTGTATGAATCATCCATACAGTACGAATTAGAAAAAAAAAGGAAAAACTATATTTATACAGCACCTTTTATACACAGCCGCAGTTCAAAGTGCTTCATACAAACAGACAAATTAAAGCATTAAATAATATTAAATAATAAAGCTGAGATGAAGCACCTCAGAGGGGCATTTGCAAAGATAATTTTAATTTTAGAATTTAAATTAAAGTGCTAAAGACAAAAGACAATCCACTAGAAAATACAATAAGGGATGAAAAGAAGCAGTGCTAAACACAAGAAAACGAGCTTTCTTAAACTGGACTGAAAAAAAACAGCACAGACCAGCACGAAGTCCATCTAAGCTGGTTTATACTGGTTTACACTGGTCTGGTGCTGGTTTAGCTGGTCACTCTGCATTGTGATACTGAGTGACCAGCATACCAGTATCAAAACACAACATATGCTGGTTTTGGTGATATGAGCTCATCTGGGAATTTGTTCCAGCAGTTGGCAGCATAATGACTGGATGCTGCCTCACAAGCAGACTTTCTGTTGTGCTTGTGTCACTTATTGTTGGACATACAGTAGGCTTGAGGCCATTTAGTGTTACATATGTATGTGTATATATATATATATATATATATATATATATATATATATATATATATATATATATAATATTTTCTCCTAGTATTGAGATGCAGTGAAAAAATAAGAAAAATAAAAAGATTTTCCAGTGCTGGACAGTGACTGGACATCATTATAGTAGCTATACAAGTAATATAAGTATTAGTATGAGTACAGTGTAGTCAGCAGAAGAGAGTAAAGCATCTGAATCTAATATTTAAGGGAAAACATTATGACATTATGCAGTTTGTACGTCAAGCGGGCATCTTCAGCATGACCTGAAATGTGGTTCAGCGCAGATTAGCAATTCCAAGAGTCAGACACAAGGGGGCAGCAGAGGCAGGCGATAGATACCTGAGTCAACAGAGCAGGTGGTAAAGATGTAACGATGGTAAAATTACTTTATAACGTATTTCCACGTGTGACGTTCATTCACTAATCTATCTATCTATCTATCTATCTATCTATGCAAACATGCCTCATTAAGGATCTGTGGGGTTTGTAAGATACTATAACAGGCCAATAGTAAATCATATCTAAAGCTGATTTTACTAGTCGGTTTGATAAAACTCATTGCACTTCACATGTGACCTTATAAGAAGCCTCTACAAATACACAGAAAATACGTCAAACGCAATCACGTGACACAATGTAAACGATGTGGTCACGTGGCATCATGTTAATACTATGTCATTAGTGTTGCACAGAAAGTGATTATTTCGACTTGAGTCAATAAACCGGGAAGTCATTGTGATACTATGATAAAAGTTTGACCAAAGAACCAAAAAAAGGGGGTGATTTTTCTCCTCCACCTGGCAGGAAGAGGGGCTTCGGTGGTAAACTGAAGGAGGTCCGTGTGGTCCAGCGTGTTTGTTTAATCAGATTGGCGAGTTCAACTGCAGAAAGGTGCGCTTCATACCGGAAGTGGCCGTGCCTTACCTTTCCTCACCCACACCTGAGAGCTGAGAACTGAGGGCGAAACTGGGAGCAGAGCTTCCTGCTGTGTAGGCGACGCTCTCACCCTCACAGAGTCTGAGTGAAGCTGCTGCTCTGGAGCTTTTCTGAAGCCATAAAGTCCAACTGAAACTGAATGATCTGCATGCGACTCTTCTCGGAGGATAGACGGAGCTGCTGATCTCATCTGGGCTGGTCTGTTGTTGTTGGAGGTTATACTTGAGCCAAACTCACCGGAGACACCATGAGCACTGCTGCTTATGTAAGTCACTGCTGTTGATTCACTCCGGGGTGGAGGAGCTGCTCTTCTTCTGTTTGACATCTTTCATTCCACAAAACACACTTTTCTTCCTTATTTTATAACCGCCTATCCCTCAAACCTGGGTGGAACATGTCATTTATGTTTTTTAGTGAAACGTTAGTTGATGCGCACGGTGTCATTAAGTTGTCTTATTAAAGTCAGAGAGGATGAGGTGGTAGTAGTCATGACAGATTGGCATCTGACTGACTCGTGCTCGCTCTCTTTATTCACCTGTGGAGTTTTGAAGGTGGTTTAAAGCTGAATTGCACCAGTTTTCCACAACTCATTCTTTCATTCTTTGAGAGTCATTCAGAGTGGTTTGGTGTGAAATGGTTCACTGTAGAGAAACTTATAAAACTTTTAGACTCAGATTTCTTTACAGTGGCGGTGATAGGAACCAGAGGTCGCAAGGTCTGATGTCTGCAACACAAATATAGGCATTTTATTTACTATCCAAAACCAACAGTGAACCTCCATGTGTCGTCCCAACATGTACGTCTCCTTTTTTTTAGAACAGATAAAAAAGTGTGTATATATATATATATATATATATATATATATATATATATATATATATATACATACATATATATATATACAAACATATATATATATATATATATATATATATGTGTATGTATGTATGTATGTATATGTGTGTGTGTATATATATATATATATATATATATATATATATATATATATATATAATTTTCAAATCACAATAAAACATTGTCTCAGACATCAGGCAGTGTATAAATAATCATTTCATGTGCTGTTTTTTGTTATTGAACTCTGCAGACATCTGGTTCCTATCACCACCACTGTGAACAGTCCTGACTCAGCAAGTTTCTGAAGAAGTTTTTCACTTCAAACCACTCTGAATGACTTTGTTTACATCTTACTGAGTTAGTAATGCATAAAATGGAGATGCAATAGTGGAATCGCTCTTTAAGGGTAGAGGGCCCTTAAACCAATGTGAGTGAGGAATGTGTTGGGACCTTTTTTAATATATATTTGGACCTAAGAAAAGTATCAGGCCCAAAAGCTCCTCCAGTACTGAGCTCCCTATAGCACTGCAGTGGAACTTCACGGTACCAGCATCTGTCAGCACAGGAGCTGAACATCTCTTAGGCTTTATTCTTCTCTTTGTGTCTAAAATAGAACCCTAAAGCTCCAAAGTGAGAAGTGTGAGTGACAGCGAAGTAATCCCAGTGCTGAATCAACTCAGCAGAATGAAATTAATCCCAAAACAGGAATTAGAAACTGAGTAGGAAAAAACGGATTCTCTTCCTCGTTTACTTGAGACGCTATGATGAGATGGGCTTTTCCATTTCTATGGTTGTGCTGCATGTGTATGAGTCTGCGGTAGCTTTTGCAAAATGGGCAACTGGTCACTAAACATAGAGTAGGTAAAGAGGTTTGAAGTTAAAGCAAGTTGGAGAATCATAGCTTTCCAATCATAAAGCAGGACAGACATACTGAATACTGAACAAAGGAGATTTATTTCATAAGTTGGTTTTGACTGCATTGTTAGTTGGGTCATTCTCTGTTTGGAGTGGGAAAGCATGTCACAAAGGCTGCAGGGCTTAAAAAGATGCTTAAAATATTAGGCACAGCTTCAAAAGTCGGTATGTACATTCACACAGTTGACGTAAGATTAAATAAGACATTTCCCTTATAATTTTTCTGACTTCTTTTTTATCCTGTTTTATAGTCACTCTGCACCTGTAAAACAGCTCGTCACAAAACCAATTTTCAACATTTGAGAAAACATTTTAAATATAAAACAATATTTTTAAGTGGTTTAACTCAGGAATTTGTATAAAACAGATTCATTTTTACCTTTATATCATTAACGTTACACTACATTTAGAAAATAAGTATTTTATTCAAAATTTATTTGTCACAGAGGTTTTGGTCACTGGTGTTATCAGGACTCTTATTATATTTTAACACAGTATTTTCAGCTCTATTAAACTGCTTCTTTGGGTCGAGCCTCTTTAGAGAGGAAGCATCTCATGGCATGAGAAGGCGAGTCACACTTGCTCACTATATTTCATTAATTTATTAATCATTTTGTTTATCAGGCAGCTCATAACTTCTATGTGTCACTGGTGTTTTGGGGTAGTTCACAGCAAGCAGAAAAGAACTCTCCTCCATCACTGTTTGTGCTTCACCCTGTAACCGCACTGTGTGTGCATGTGACTGTGCTTACCACATGAGACTGACATGAAAGACCACAATGACTGACGCAGCAGTGGTGCAGATGCAGTGGTACATCTGATCTTAAAGGAGAATTCCACCATCTTTCTAAATTTTCTGCATAATTAAATCATTTAAAATGTGACAAAAGTCATTCAGAGTGGTATGATATTAAATGCTCCATTCTAGAGAAACGTACATAGACAAGTGTTCACAGTGATGGTGATAGGAACCAGACATCTGAAGAGTTTAATGCTTCATATAATGTTATTATATGAAATGATTACAGAAACACTGCCTGATGCCTGAGACATCGTTTTACGGTAGTTCTGAGGTTTTTCTCCTAAATGTGTTTTTTAAAAGCTGTTAATGATGGAGAGGCAGGGTGTTATTTTGCAAAATAGTCCCCAAAGAAAGCAAGTGATCCACTCAGACTAGCACAACACACACTAACACACCACCACCACGTCAGTGTTACTGCAGTGCTGAGAATGATCCACCACCCAAATAGAACCTGCTCTGTGAGGGTCCATGGGGGTCCGGCCCACTGAAGAACAGGGTAAAAGCGGGCTAACAAAGTATGCAGAGAAACAGATGGACTACAGTCTGTAACTGTAGAACTACAAAGTGCTCCTATATAGTAAGTAGAGCTGATAAAATGGACAATGAGCGTAGAAACGATGGTCATAATGTTATGCCTGATCGGTGTATATGGTGTGCATGTTTCATTTAGCTGTGTTCTTATGGAAAAAAACAAACAAATGCAGTTTCCTCACAACCCGCAGTTTGAAAATCACTGTTGCACCTGTTGAATATAATCAGATGAAGTAACTTCAGCTGAGCTGAACCTGAGCTGAAGTTATTGCTGCTGCTGCTCAGCAGAATAGCCCAAACCACGGCACACAGAACTGCCAGCTTCCTTCATTCTGTGTCTCATAATCATATTCATTTGGCTGGCGAGGGTCGGCACACTGCGTTATCCTGCCTTCTGCACCAGATTTGTGACTGAGTCCATGTCAGGGCTCAGAGTGGGTCATTTAAGGACAATAACATTATTAATCCCTCTGCGGAATGTGGATTAGTGATCTCAGAGCTAAAAGGTCAGTAATTCTCTTACATCAGCACTTACATTTGTCCGTGATGGCTTTGCTGTCTGCTCTATAGATGTTGGGATGGGATGAAAATTGCCTGTCAGTGACCAAAATGATCATGGTGGCATTGTTAAAGTACACTGAGAGTGTTTAAAAAGCACTGAAACACACTGAAAGTATTTCACCTTCACATTTTAAGTAGTACTTATTTTCTAGCTTTTTTGAGTGATTATGATGAAATTATTGCACATTTTCATGAGATTTTGAACGATTTATGTAAAAAATAGTTGATGTTCTCGGGATTATGACTGTTATACCAAAATAATCTGCCATTGTCATGAGATTCTGATTGTTATGTGAAAATATTGCTTCTTTTTCTCAAGGTTATGACTGATTATGACAAAATAAGATGATGACGGATTATGTTAAAATAATGGCTTGTTTCCTCAGGATTTTGACTGTAAATCAAAATAATGGTTTAATTTCTTTAGATTTTGAATGATTTTGTTGATATAATGGCTTCTTTTCTCGAGATTATGACTGCCATGTTGAAGTAATGGTTAGGTGGGCATGAAATCCTGACTATTTAAGTTGAAATAGTGTTTTGTTTGTAACAGGACACTGTTAAAACAATAAATGTAGCGCTGCTCTTCATCCTTATCTATAATCACCCCTGTAGTCATTAAACACACGAGCGTACGATTGATTATAGCTGACTAATGTTTGCTAGTTTTTCTTGTTGTAGTGCTTGATAGAAACCTGCTCTCACACTTTGACTCAAGCTCAGGTTCCTGTGTGTGGGTGGATGGTTAGGTAGGTGGGTGGATGAATGGATGGTAAATGAACAGTAACACAGATGACTTCCAAATCTGATTTAACTGCTGAACTGTGTTTGCTTGCTGCTATAAATAATCCAGTTATTTATTGTTTTCTTTAAAAAACGTATGCTGCAAACATTTTACATTGTCTCGTTCATTCATTGTGTTCGGTTCATTTGAATATGACTCAGCTGATCGACTAGATGTTGTTATGCCAGGTAGATTTCTTCAGATTGCTGGGAGAATGAGTGCTACAGAAGACCTTTCAGTCACTAAGGAAGGATGCTGTTGTTTTATCTTCACTTTTAGCGTCCCAGCGTTCATATTCTGTCACTGCAGTTTGGTCTTGTCCTGTCAGTGTAGTCCTGTTTACACACACACACACACACACACATCATCTAAACCGCTTATCCTTCTGGGCGTGGGGGGGGGGCCGGAGCCTATCCCGACTGTCATTGGGCGGAAGGCAGGAAACACCCTGGACAGCTTGCCAGTTCATCGCAGTAGTCCTGTCCAGTGGATGAGTATATTTGGACCTGGAGCTTTTTCAAACAAGGAAGATTAGTTCGAGAGATGGCAGTGACACAATATTGGGTATCAATCTGGGGATCATTTAGTGTAGTATCTCCCAAATTATGGAATTCTCTCCCCTGGTCTATTCGGGATGCCACCTCTCTATCTTCATTTAGATCTCTATTGAAGACTTACTTGTTTTCGCTGTATTATCGTTGTTCTGTTTATACTTGAATGTTTACTTGTATTCTCCTTTTGTTGTTATTTGTTTACTGGGTTCATGTTCTTTGATTGTGAAGCATCCTGGAGCATGGGAAAGACGCTATATAAATAA